ATGCTAATACTAATAAAAAACAGTTATCAGTAAATTCTGATTGGCATGTATTAAATAGAAAATTGTACGTTTTAGGTTTTACTTTATGAACTTAAACATACGCTCATTCCAAGAATGATGCCTGAAACACGTTCCAAAAGGTTGGGACAGGAGCATGTTCACCACTGTTGCATCACTTTTCCTTAAACCAACACTTTTTCAGAATGAACGTATATTTATCAAAAAAAAACAAAAAAAAACAGGTTGATAAAACAATACATATCCTTGTACTTTTTTTGCTCAAATGCAGGTAAATATAAATTGCTGCATTCTGTGTTTATTTGCATTTTACTACTGTTAGCAACCTTTATGGAATTGGGTTTATATGTACATTATATTGCCAAAAGTATTCACTCACCAATCCAAATAATTGAATTCAGGTGTTCCAATCACTTCCATGGCCATAAGTGTATAAAACCAAGCACCTAGGCATGCAGACTGCTTCTACAAACATTTGTGAAAGAATGGGTCGCTCTCAGGAGCTCAGTGAATTCCAGCGTGGTACTGTGATAGGAGTCCAGTCGTGAAATTTCCTCACTACTAAATATTCCAGTCAACTGTCAGTGGTGTTATTACAAAGTGGAAGCAATTGGGAATGACAGCAACCCAGCCACGAAGTGGTAGGCCACGTAAAATGACAGAGCGGGGTCAGTGGATGCCAACTTTCTGCAGAGTCAATCCCTACAGACCTCCAAATTTCATGTGGCCTTCAGATTAGCTCAAGAACAGCGTAGAGAGCTTCATGGAATGGGCTTCCATGGCTGAGCAGCTGCATCCAAGCCTTGCATTACCAAGCGCAATGCACAGCGTCAAAGGCAGTGGTGTAAAGTGCCGACTCTGGACTCTAGAGCAGTGGAGACGTGTTCTCTGGAGTGACGAATCACGCTTCTCCGCCTGGCAATCCGATGGACTCTGGGTTTGGCGGTTGACAGGAGAACGGTACTTGTCTGACTGCATTGTGCCGAGTGTAAAGTTTGGTGGAGGGGGGATTATGGTGTGGGGTTGTTTTTCAGGAGTTGGGCTCGGCCCCTTAGTTCCAGTGAAAGGAACTCTTAATGCTTCAGCAGAACCTGACTGGCCTGCACAGAGTCCTGACCTCAACCCAACAGAACACCTTTGTGATGAATTAGAGTGGAGACTGCGAGCCAGGTCTTCTCATCCAACATCAGTGTCTGACCTCACAAATGCGCTTCTGGAAGAATGGTCAAAAATTCCCATAAACACACTCCTAAACCTTGTGGAAAGCCTTCCCAGAAGAGCTGAAGCTGTTATAGCTGAAAGGGTGGGCCGACATCATATTAAACCCTATGGATTAAGAATGGGATGTCACTCAAGTTCATATGCATGTGAAGGCAGACGAGCGAATACTTCTGGCAATATAGTGTATGTGCGCATTCTCAAATTTTGATGCACCCTGTTTTTGAATTTGTGTCACAAGCAAGACATAACAAAGCTAAGCACTAACTAATAATATAATATTAATTGACACAAAATACTTATTTTTATATCTCTATGATGAGCCTCTAACCAATATCTATAGTAACACTCTGTATGCAGTTATGACCTTCCATTGAGAAACATGCCCCACTATTAAGCCATGCAGAAAACTGCACAGAAATCAAAACACTAGTAGACTACCTTACTTAGTGTGATTGTTAGATTAACAAGTTCCTTATAGCACAATATGTCACCATACAGCTCGCTAATGTCAGCATTAATAGCCTTTGCAAAAGCAGCCACTTTGGCGTTACAATGTTTAACTGAACATTTCTAATTATGGTAAAGTGAGTCAAAGCATATGAAATGTAATATTGTTATTAACAGGCTGTGCTGAGGAATGGAAACTGTCAGGGAAATGATACATGAACAGCAGCAGAACCCAACAGTCACTCAGAACATCTCTCTGTATGCCTTAATTCACCAATTAAAATCAAGTAAATGTAATAACCCCTTTTGAATATAAATATTAAAACTGCTTACACAGTAGCAAGGTTTTTGTTGCCATCTGACTGAATGTTTTTTTCCCCATTTGCACCTTTCCAACTTATCCTCTTGCCAACATTGTCAGAAAAAATATGTGAAAGGATGTTCCATGTTATGTGTTTTGTGTCGTGCCCCCCGATAGATGCTAGAGAGGATATCTAAAAGACAAAAGTTGTGGATTAAAGTACAAGATATTCTTTCTAAAATGTCAGTACTTTTAATTACAAAGTTTAACTCAACTGGTTCAGCAAAAGTAGACATCGGGTTAAGTATGATGAATAAGTTTCATGCTGTATTGCACTGTATGAGTAACATGAGCCAATGATCATAATTTGAAATCTACCTGATTTCACCATGCATTTGTAGGGGTAAGCGATATGGCAAAAATATTATATTTTGATACTTTTCATAATACCAGATATGTATGCATCACAGTATTTTAGAATCTGTAGTATTGCATATAGAAATACTATTATAATAATTACATACCTACAACTAAAGTCATTTATTTTATTCACTGTTTTACAAAACTGTACTGAACTAAATCAATTAAACAGGCCTAATTATATTCACTTTGTAAGGAAACATGTAACTAGTCAGGGGTCTTACTGAAGATATCCACAATATGCTTCGAAAAGTGTATTTATACTTTTCAGCAAACCTGGCCATCCTATTTCTGTGGCTAACTAGTGGTTTGTATCTTGCCATGTAGCCTCTGTATATCTATTCTAAAGTCTTGTGCAGACAATAATCATTGTTAAATACACACAAATCCACAGGGATATGTGGATTTTTCTTCATTATGATGAGAATTCTCATCAGAATGTAATAAGCTGTGGAGGTCTTCCTTGGCCTACCAGTCTCTTTGTGGTTACTCTCTTTATTCTAAGTAAAGTTACACACAGTTGTTTTTGGTATGTTTTTGGTCTTAGGTTTGGCCGATGTCTCTTACTGTTTTATTCCTGTTTCTCAGCTTTCTAATGGTTTCCTTAACTTTCACTGGTACAACTCTGGATGAAAACCCTCGATTCAAAACAAGATAGATAAATAGATAGATAGACCAACAGACAGACAGACAGGTAGATAGATAGATAGACAGAGTGACAGACAGAGACTTGTAGAACGATAGATAGATAGAGAGATAGATAGACAGAGAGACAGATAGACAGAGAGAGAGATAGATAGATAGACAGATAGAGAATTGCAGAACAATAGACAGATAGATAGATAGAGATAGATAGATAGAGACAGAGATAGATAGAGAATTATAGAATAGATAGATAGAACAATAGATAGATAGAACAATAGATAGACAGATAGATAGATAGATAGATAGATAGATAGAACAAGTGTAGAACAAGTACAAAATGATAAAAAAAATTAGGTCTGTGGAGGGACTGAAACAAATCTATGCAATGGCTGGAGAGCAGAAGTCAGGAACCAAACCTAGGTTATTCAAAGTAGCTCGCAAGATTTTTTAAAAGAAAGTCTTGTAATTCTTAACACAATTTTTTTTACTGTTTAATTTTATTCTAATGTTATCCGGTTTTTACAAGCAAACACTCACTTACTGCCCAGATAAATGTTTAAACAAATTGGTTAGGTGCTTTTACACAGTGCTGTATAAGGATACAGACGACAATTTAAAAAGATCCTATTTTTTCTCTCTGGTTGCATGCCTTCTTGGCCAAAGAAAGAAAAAAACATGATACAAAATTAAATTTATCTTAACTTATTTAAATACTTTGTATATGAAACTGTTCTTGTAGGATATTTCATGTAAACAATATGTATGTTTTTGTTGTATACGTTTTTTGACTATTAAATTTATTTTACTTGACTTCATAAATTTTGTTTCCATTTTTATGAGTTTTTATGAATGCAAAATTGTTCTTTCGTCTTCAGTTTGTGCAGCCTCTGACCAAATCAGAGCTGTGATGTTTTTTGCCATATCACACTCCCTCTTGTGCTCTACTGGATAATAAGTCTCCTGCCATTCGGCTACAGCAAATGAGTTACCAATGTAAAGCCCACTTTTGCAGCCCCACTATACTTGAATAAAGAATTCACATGAAAATCTGTAGTTACTGTGTGTTCCAGGGTCTATAAACTATAACCTACAAAACTGTATTCAATATAAATGTAGGAGTCTTGTGGCAACTCAAAAATATAAACATTATGGGCACATCATTTTTATAAGGGCCCTCAGAGGCATTTATCAAATAACGTCCCAACTATTTAGGCTCTAAGTTGTTAAGTTTATCAATATATAATGCTTTACTATTTTAACAATGACTTCTGTAAAAACCTATGTGGTGATGAGGGCCTTTTTAACTGTGTGATGAATCATACCATATTCTGTCTCTGTCGAGAATTGGCAGGGTCTTTAAGCCAATTTTCAAAGTCATCAACTTCTTCCATTGAATCCAGTGGAAATTCCATTGTATTTGGCAGTATTTCAACTTGCTCAACTGGATCACATTTACTCAAGAGATAATTTACTTTAGAAATTAACTGGTCTTGTTGGTGCTTCAAATACTCCAGTAATGATAATATATGCAATTCTGCAGCTGCAAAAACAGTTTACAATAAAAATGAACATTTCCTGTTTACTGGTGAACTACATATAGGTGACACTATGCCTGGGCAATATCTAAAAAACTAAAATTAGCACAAAAAATGTCTTTTCTAAATGTTTTCAAAATGATTCTAAAATGTTCTAGACTTCAGTATGTTTAAAGTGGAATCCCACATATTTTTCAAATTTTCTGCATAACTTAATCACTGAGATGTATGAAAAATTCATTCAGAGTGCCCTGTAACCTGCCGACTGAGAGTTGTTCACAGTGGTGGAGATAGGAACTAGGCACTTGAAGAGTTTAATACCTTTAAAATCTCCGTTTATGAACACACTTGCTGATGTCTATGACATTGTTTTATGATCATTTTGAGAATGTTTTGGCCTAAACTGTATTTTCTAACACCTTCATGGCACAGTGGTACATGCAGGGAGTCATAAATTAAATTAGTCCTCAAAGAAAACCTGACACCTGTAGGTTCACTGGTGGTCTTGGATAATAAATAAAATGGCTATATTTGTGTTGTAGACATTGTGACCCCTGGTGCCTATTACAACCAACCACTCAACCATATCACATCAAACCACTATGTTTACACCTCAACCACTGAATTATGGAGGAAGTTTGAAAAATTGGTTGAATTATGTTTAAAAAACAATGCATTTTCCATTGTTATAACAAAAGGGCTTTGGTGGAGTTACTATGCTAAAATTACATATATTAGGTATTACACTCAACCCAACTATCTTAAGCTGTGGGGAAAATGGTTACAATTTTCCCCTGATATGTCACATTCTGGGAAACTCCCTGGCACAGTGCACATTATAATAATTATCATAATAATCCATTGTTTTGACAGTAAAAGGGAATATAGTATTAAATTTACACACTATTTAATATTAGTAAACAAGTTGTTTAAAATGAAATTAGTTCTCTCTCTTTCTGTATCAGTTCTGTTTCCCAACACAGCATTTAAGACTGAAGACTGTCAACAGGGTACTTGTCAATCATCACTGATATCCAAACACATCACCCAGGCTTAGTGCACACTGCTATGATTTATTTACTTGGAGTAAACAGCCCTTGTGATTAAAAAAAATTCTTCAAGTTTATGTTCATTAAAGCTTCAAGAACAGTTAAAATAATCCAATATGAGCATATATAGATCAATAACAGTAATACTCACCAGAGCAGGGAATACTGTCTGTTCCTGACCGCCCCCCCTTCCAGACAGGTCTGTACAGGCTTGCAGTAGGGGGCTGCTTGGGTATTGGTGCTGAATGACTTCTATTTGGAACCTGTACAAGAGCACAAAGTTTCACTGTGTGGTGCAAGGATTTGCATAAAGTTACAACTCGTACAAAATGACAACTCACATTTCAACAGTTTTGAAAAATCACAAATATGAAAAAAATATCAAAAAATTGAAGCCCAAAAATAAATAAATAATTAAAAATGTTACAAACCCATGTACAGGGAGGCTCTGGAGTAGTGCATAGCATCGGCAGGGGAGACAGGGGAGGAGGAGGTACAGCACTGCTGCTTGGAGGAGGGGGTATGACAGGAGGTGAAAGGTTGTTCTCAGATTGGAGTTTCTGTGAACCTTTGGCTCTCTTTTTTGGTAACACTTCCTCCTCGCTGTCATTGTCCGTGTCTCCAAAAAAATGACTGAGAGTGGGAGAAGAATATTAAAGAAATCAATTAAATATAAATGTTTATTTGCATAATCTCTTATTAATACAATAACTGCTTCTACTGAATGAAAAGCAATATTATACAATTGGTAAATGTGAAAATACAAACATTGGTTTATGTTTTCTCCTGCCTCTGATCTCCTCCTCTTCCTCGTCAGACTGTAGCTCTGATGTGTTATGAGTCAGGGATTTTCTTAGTAGCTGTCTTGCTTCTAAATACTGATCTTGGGGGGAAAAATACAATTTGGCTCAAATCAATACAAACTTTAAATCAGATAGCTTTAGATCAAATATATAAACAAATTAGAGGGGCAGGATGCATTGTTTGTTAATGATTGATAAATACATAAATAAATAAATAAATAAAAAAAACAAGCAAACTTTTTTTTTTTTTTGCTATAGATATATTTGTTGAATGCCAACATTTGTGTGTGTGCGTAGCATTTTCTGAAATTGCCTAAAATGGCTAGGCTGGCTTTATGCAATAAAATTTTCACAAGAATTTGATTAGTTGAAATTTAAACGAAACTTGCGTCACTTGTGTTGCATAATGTAAAGCCTCACACAACTCACTTAAAACCATTCTGAAACTCAGCCACAACAATAGGTTGCTGTTATCACAACCGTTTTGGCTGGTATCATCTAGAATATTTAACATATTAGGACTGCTCTCATACTGCAAATGTAACAGTGATACTTGGAAAAATAACAAAAGGCAATATAAATAAAGATGCAAAGGTAAACATGTTGCATCAAATTTTAATTAGCGAGAAAACTAAGTAGCTACTAATCTTGGAAACTAGTATAATTATTCAGTGTACTGGTCTATTTTATTTAGGTTTGTGTAACTGCCAAGTTCACCACAACCCAGAAGGATAAGCAGCTTAGATGATGAGTAAGTGACTGAGTGAGTAACTGTCAAGTTGCACAGAAATGATGCTTAATGCAACTTGCAACCTACATCTAGCTGTGTGAAAGATTCAAAGTGTAAAGCCAGCCTCAGTTTTAATGAAAAATATTTTCTTGGAATAGCTTACTGCATGATTTAAGAATTCTGACATCATGTTTTTCCCAGTCTGATCCAGGTTCCTCTGCATTCTTCACTGCTCTTTCTATCCGATTATCACTTTTGTAATTTGGCCAATAGGTGACCCCATCAGCATACCAGCTTTTGGGCACCACTGCCACTGTTTTGGTGCTCAGGAATTCAATTAACAGGAACATGTAGAAATCTAGAATTACAAAGATAGATGCCACAAAAAAACAAAATGGAGAAATATTTTATGTCAAAGATCAGGCATCTTTTACTGACAAATTTATCATCAGTGCAGATAAAAAATTTAAGCTCAAATTTCAGTTTGCAATTTTTTCTTATAATCACATAAAATTACATACTTGTATACCTAATTTTTCAAGCATTGGCTGTAAAAATGTGTTCTCTGGTGTGACATCAACAAAATGTTTAGTAAAGGTGCCTGTCACAAGCCGAGCATTTGTAAACCATAATAGCTTTAAACTTTTACTTTATTTAAAACTGCACTAGGTATGACTGTTTTGTTAAAATTAGAAGAAGTAGCATTATTGAGTCAGGATGGACATTAAAACGTTTAAATATGGTGTACATGCACCGCTGCGTAGTATGTTTATTGCAGTAAATCATTTTTACTGGATTACTGAGCTCAACTAAGAAACCTCTTGAAAGTTTAGGAAAAGTCCCACCTTCCAGTCTCAATTTTGCTTGGTTCTTCCTTTGAGATTGTAGGTTAGCACTCCATGCAATTTAGGGAGAGTGGATACTTTCTTTTTGCTATAAGCGTCCCAATGTTATCCACAAAGGGCCAGAGTGGGGGCAGGTTTTTGTTCCAAACAAGAGGAAGACACCTGATTCTAATAGTTTAATCAGTCAGTCTCTGTCTTTAAACAACTGATCATGTGAGCTCTTTCTTTGTTGCAATGAAAACGTGCAGCCACACCAGCCCTTTGCAAGTAAGACTGGACACGCCTGCATTACTGCTTCTGTTAATTTAAGCGTATACACCTCGAACCTTTACAACCAATTCAAAGTTTGTTAGTTGCAGCATAATTTGACTATGAAATCTAACTACTGTGGCAAATTATTTAAGTCATCTCAAAAAACTGAGATCTTCTCAAATAATTGAGATTAGGTGATTTGTTGTTCTTGCGACAGGCCCAGGACCACCCCTGAATATCTCTGGGATGAGTTGGAGTGATCCAACTAATGCTAATTCACTTGTGGCTGAACGCAAACAAATCTTCACAGCAATGTTCCGTCATCTGTAAAGCCTTTCCCAGAAGAGTAGAGGCTGATATTGCAGCGAAGGCTGGAACAAGCTCCCTATTAATATCACTAATTTCAAAATAAACATTGGACAACCATGTGTCTACAAATTTCTACGTATGTATTTTACTTGTATTTGTCACTGCGAACACAAAAATGGAGCATCATGGCAAATGCCCTTTGGAACTGCAAACTACCCTGAAGTGAAACTTAAAATAGTCGTGTAAAAATTATATTACTCTCACCTTAACAATGACGTGGTTACCAATAACCTCACTGTGATGCAGTTTTATGACCAGATTACCTGTTGTTAAGAAAATAAAGCACACAGGACAAATTATTAATTTTGGACACTCCATATGATGGTCCTGATGATGAAATGGCAATAAATAGTTTACACAAGAGGTTGTTCCCCACACCCAAAACATTTTAACATTTTCCCAGCTCTAATACTAAGCATGAAAAACACTAAATATGTGCAGGGCAGGGGATATAACTGAAATACATTTGGGAACCACTGGATTAGCTTTAGATTTAGCACAAAAGCTACCTACACAATGAGTACTTACAGTGAAGTTTTATCCTGTTTCACATTTGATATCCTGTTTCACAGTAGCATGCAGTTGATGTAGTTGATGCAGTCAGTCTTTGTCATAGTATCTGATAGTCACTAAGTCATTTTGTATAACCCCTCAACCCAAATCTAAATAAACCATATGCAAAGGACTAATTCTAAACTACAACATTTTAGTGTACAAGACGTAAGATGTAAACACAGAATGTGTGCAGTCCCAGGGACCCTCTTCTCTGCACAGTATTATACTTGCCCTGTTCTAACACATACACTGATCAGGCATAACATTATGACCATCTCCATGTTTCTACGCTCCTTATCCATTTTATCAGCTCCACTTTCTCTATAGGTGCACTTTGTAGTTCTACAATTACAGACTGTAGTCCATCTGTTTCTCTGCATACTTTGTTAGCACCCTTTTACCCTGTTCTTCAGTGGTCAGGACCCCCATGGACCCTCCCAGAGCAGGTGGATCATTCTCAGTACTGCAGTAACACTGACGTGGTGGTGGTGAGTTAGTGTGTGTTGTTCTGGTGCAAGTGGATCAGACACAGCAGTGTTGCTGGAGTTTTTAAACATCTCAGTGTCTGTGGGCAGTGTCCTGTGACCACTGGTGAAGGACTAGAGGATGAGCAACACAAACTGTGCAGCAGCAGATCAGCTATCATCTCTGACTTTACATCTACAAGGTGGCCTGACAAGGTAGGAGTGTCTGATAGAGTGGACAGTGAGTGGACACAGTGTTTAAAAACTCCAGCAGCACTGCTGTGTCTGATCCACTCTGACCAGCGCAACACACACTAACACACCACCACCACATCAGTGTCACTGCAGTGTTGAGAATGATCCACCACCCAAATAATACCTGCTCTGTGAGGGTCCATGGGGTCCTGACCACTGAAGAACAGGGTAAAAGTATGCAGAGAAACAGATGGACTACAGTCTGTAATTGTAGAACTACAAAGTGCACCTATATAGTAAGTGGAGCTGATAAAATGGACAATGAGCATAGAAAATGTTATGCCTGATCAGTGTACGTTCAGAAAATTCAACACACACACACACACACACACACACACACAAAAAAAAAAACACCTATCAAACAACACGTTATGTGTGAAATAAAGGTATGGCCACAAATCCACCTCTATGAGGCAAAGCAGCACATTTCTGTACAAGCTCAGAGACCTTGGCACATTTGAGAAAATCTGATGTGTGGGAAATTGTATAGATATTTAAAAAGTCTGAGCTGAATGGATAGGTGAAGAAACAAGACTTCTCTGAAAATACTTTGTACACTACATACACTCCATCACTACATTCTACAATGTTATGTATTAGACAAATATCTTCTCCAATCATAAATACATTATTTCCTGTAGATACTTTTATAGTCCATTTTTCACACTGCATTTCACCATACTGTGCTTTCACTGACAAACCATTTGTGATCGGTCCAACAAAGTGTGGCTTTTTCAAAGTGGACACTTTTGAAACAGTGTCACTGATTTGTACCTCTGACACTCTACGAATTACTTGGGCAAGA